AGGCCTGCTATTTCAGAAGTGGGTGGCCAATCCTTCTTCCTAGTCTGTCTTAATCTGAATGTTCAGATTTAGAGGAGTATCTGACAGACAGCAATTTGTGAAGCAGTGAAAGATAAATCCCTTATTGTGGAGTTAAACATTAGTTACAGTGTTGACCCGGAATTTATCTACTTAAGTTTATTCCACCAAAATCATACTTTTTACATCAAAAGCACTACACCAAGAAAGTGGGAGGGGGGGATCTACAGAATGGAAGACACATTTTGCAAATCAATTTTTCAATGGTGGATTCGTATCTTTTTAAGGAATCCCAACTCATCAATAAAATTCAATACTTCAACAAGTGAACAGAGTACTTTACTATTTAGTTATCTGAAAAAGATATACAAATAAATGGCTTTGAAGCATATGATAAAATGTTCGCATCATTAACCACAAGGGAAATGCAAATCAACCACAATAAACCACTTCAAATTGACTAGGATGGCGATAATAAAAAAGACAGACAGTGATTAGGTATTACTGTCATGACATGAGTCCAGAACAAAAGCTGCGTAGTGGAGTGGACCTGGGAGGAAGGACTGTATAACAATGAAATAATTTTTTTCTGGGGGTGGGGCGGGTGGGCAAGGAGAATAAAGTTCAACAATGAATGAATGGAAATCCAAAGTCTGTAAATTTTTATTAAAATTAATAAAGGAAACTTTTTAATAAAGACTATGGACAAAGTGGAGCCTTCAAACACTGCTGGCAGGCATGTACAATGGTCCAGTTGCTGGGACAAGAGCTTTTGTTTCCAAACTAGTGAGTCTCCCTTGTAAAAGTTGTCAAATAAATACATTATTAAATGTATTTTAGAATGGATCTTGTTTTTGTTAATATGTACAGTAGAACATAAATCAATGTAAGAGTTTCTATGTGTACAAATCAGTGACATCAGTTAAATTTCTTCAAGTTGTCACCATCCTGACATTCATTTCTGAGTTTTCTGTCCCCTATTAGTGTACATAACTCGTTACTTCTTACTTGCTGCTGTCAATCTGATCCCATAGAGATATTCAAAGGGTACAGTGTCCTCTTGCTCACCTGACCCTTTAAGCATTACATAGTGCCCTTCCTTGTCCTTTACGATGGCTTGTAACTGGAAGTCATTTTTCTCGAGATTAATATTGCTACTCATACTTTTTCCCTGTGTTGCCATTTGCTCGGTGTATTTTTCCACTTTTTTTATTTTAGTCTGTATTTTCTCCTTACAGGTATATCTCTTGTAGAGAGCATATTGATGGTTTGTTGTTGCTGTTATTGAAATCCAATCTGCTACTCTTTTTCTCTTCATTAGTGCATTTAAGCCATTCCCATTCAGAGTAACTGCTGAGAGGCAGGTTTTGGTGCTATCATTTTGTCAGGTTCCTGTTTGTGCTGTTGCTGGTTACCTTGATCCATCCACTTTTCCGTGGAGTCTCACTAGGAAAAACTTCCTTTGGTATTTCTTACGACATTGGTCTTCTTTTCATACACTCCTTTAGTTTCTACTTTTCTGAGAATGTCTTGATATATCTGTCATATTTATTTTTATTTTTTTTTATTATTTTGTGTGTGTGTATACTGTCAAATCAGATTTGACTGGTACAGGAGGAGATTGTTCCTCCTTCTCCAGCAAAGCATCTGGTGGATTTGAACTGCACACTCTGGGACTGCAGTGCAGCTTCTTGCCACTAGGCCACCAGAGCTCGCCTATATATCTGTCATATTTGATAGACAGTTTTGCTGGGTACAGTGTTCTTATTTGACAACTGTGTTCTGTGAGTGTTTGATAAATGTCATTCCATGGGCTTCTTGCTCGCCTGGTTACTACTAAGAAACTGGCACTTAATCTTATTTTCTCTCCTTTAAATGTTACTCTTCATTTGGGAAAAAATATATGGCAATGACATATTGTGTTAAGGACTAATATTCAGAATAATCTGGCACCTCAACCAGAACAAGGCAAGCAACCCAATCACAAAAAAATGGGCACAAAATATGAACAGACACATCACCAAATAAGAAATTCAGATGGCCCACAAACACATGAAGAAATGTTTCAAAGTCTCAGCTACCAGAGAGATGCAAATCAAAACTACTATATTATCTCACCCCAGCAACACTAGCAAAGGTCAACACAGCAGCAACTGACAGATGTTGGCAAGGTTATGGAGAGATTGGAACTCTTATTCACTGTTGGTGGAAATATAAGATAGTACAGCCACAATGGAAAGCAGTCTGGCGCTTTCTCAAAAAGTTGGAAATGGAAATACCATTTGACTCAGCTATCCCAAAACTAAGAATATAACTAAAGAAACCAGAGCCAGACCACCCATGTTTATTGTGGCTTTATTTACAATAACAAAGAGATGGAAGTAGCCCAACTGCCTGTCAACAAACGAATGGATTGAAAAACTGTGGTGGATCCATACAATGGAGTATTACACAGCACTGAAAAACAATGAATTTGTAAAACACTACATAATGTGGAAGAGTCTGGAAGACATTATGCTGAGAAATAGATCAGTCACAAAAGGACAAACACTGTATCAGACCTCTGTTAAAAAGACAGGAAGGACATGAGGAAGGGGCGAGGGGAAGAGTGGATAGCGAACACTACTGGATAGGAGAAGGGAGGATTATCTGAAAGGAATGGATGATTACACATTATGTGTACGAGAATACTAACAGTCTGGAACAGGACTGCATTACAAAGTGAATAAGGAAGGAGGAAAAACAATTGTGTATCAGTGAATCAATGAAAACCCATTCTTTGTATAAACTTTCATTAAAATCACAATTTTTAAAAAACTCAACAACTTTCTTCTTCCAAGAAGGGCAGGGGAAGGAAAGGGCACAGTGCTCAAAGCAGACACTCTTTACTAAACTCTTTGTTTTGGGATGACTTTTAGGGTGTAAGGTAAGTGGGCAGGGCGGGGTGTGTGGGCAGTGGGAGGGGTGAGGGAAGCGGGCAAGGTGTATTGTGAGGTGAGTGGATGGTGTGAGGTGAGCTGGCGGGGGAGGTGAGCGGCTGGTACGGCACTTACCTGTCTATGGTACTCTACTCCACCTCTGTTCGCAGATACTGGGTTGCATCTGAAATTTTTTTCAGTTGACTAAAGTTTAATCTTTCTGAACACATGGGACATGTGTTTTCAGCATTCAACAAGCTGTTTGGGGGGAGACATGCAGAATAAACAAGAGCTGCAATAGTCGTCCAACCTGGACTGATCTAATGTGAAAAACGTTAACTTCCTGTTCGCACCTCTAAGTGTCTGTTCATCAAGCAATTTAAGAATTAGTACTATTAAGTCTCATGTTTAAAAAGGGTAATGTTTTCACAAGTCATAGGCAGTTCTTTCAAGAAGCTGAGTTAGCAATCTTTTGGGAGTTGCTGTTTGTTTTTAGGCGCTGTCAAGCAGAGACCAATTCATAATCGACTCTCTTGGGCTTTTCAGAGGCCCTGAGTCATGTGGGAAGGGACTGCCCCACCTTTCTGCCTCAGAGCAGCTGTTGAAACCACATGCCTGTGTACAACTCCTCACCATCATAGCCCCCTTGTTAGGAGTACTGTTGTTATTGTTAGGGGCCACTGAGTCGAGTATGACTCATTGTGGCCCTGTGAACAAAAGATCTGAACCCAGTCCTGTCCTGCGCCATCCTCACACTTCCTGACACTCAAGAGCCCATTGCAGCAGTCGCTGTGTCAATCCATTTGGTTGAGAGTCTTCCTCTCCTTCGTCCATCCTCCACCCTTCCCAGTATCATGTCCTTCTCCAAGGAATAGCCCCTCTTAGCAACATGTCCAAAGTATGTGAGGCGAAGCCTCATCATCCTTGCCTCCAAAGAGCACTGCAGCCACACCTTCTCCAGACATATCTGTTTGTTCCCTTGGCCGTCTATGGGGTGTGCAGTGCTCTTACTCTGCTCCCTCCCCTCTACCCTCCCCGCTTATACTCCTAATTCCAAACTGAAAGAGCAGTTGAATGTAAAGCCTATTTTCTGATGTGTCTGGAATTAAGTGAAATGAACTTACAGCTTCAATTCTGAGTACAGAGCAGGGAAGTCACAATGCGGACACACTGTCCAGTCATCTCTCACCATATGTCGACCCTGAAAACAGGACATTGAAGGTAAAATTCAACTTTATTTTTTAAAATTCTCACCATTATCCAATTATAATAAGCAGCCCAAGTTTAAAGCTGGACCTCTTCATTACCAAATTATTGACACTTCGTGCATGTAAGTGGGTCATCGACTGGAAATCGAGGCTGACAGCCAGATTTCATCAGATCTGGGCAAATAAAAGAATAATTTTCACTTTCTGGATGTTGTTGTTAGGTGTCAATGAGCCGAGCATGACTCATAGCGACCCTATGGAAAAAGATCTGAGCCCTGTTCTAGCCTGTGCCGTCCTCACACTTCCTGACACACAAGAGCTCACTGAAGCAGTCACCATGTCAGTCCACCTGGTTGAAGGTCTTCCTCTCCTTTGCTGACCATTCACCGTTCCCAGCATCATGTCCCTCTCCAAGGAACAGCCCCTCCTAGCAACATGCCCAGCTTTCCGGATACTTCTGTCTAAATTGATTTTCTTTTAAAATAAAGCTTCTATCAATGCATGAAGTAACAAATAACCCAATATTTAAAAGTTTTACAATAATAGGCCTTGTTGTTGTTTGTTGTTAGGTGCTGTTGAGTTGTAGACGACTCATAGCGACCCTATGAACGAAACACCTGAGCACTGTTCATAATTAATAGCTATCACGCATTATCGTTGGGTTTCATAAATGCCATCAATCAAGCTGTGTTTCGGTAAGGCAGGAACCATTATCCTCATTTTATGCGTGGACAAAGGAAGGTAAAGTAAATTAGCTGCACCCGGTTATATAGTCAGTCAGTGGCACAAAGAGTTGGAGTCCAGGACCACCTGGTCAAGCCCACCCTGAAGTACCACCTTGATTATCATTAGCTTTGAAGGCACTTTGTTGACCAAGAAGTTATGTACTAAATGTTGTGGGAAATTTGAGGGATCCTATTATTTCAGAGGAGAAGAAACAAAGATTTCAACAGGCTCTGGTTATGCAAAGCCAGAAAGGGGCATTCTGAAGGTACTCACTGTTGCAATGCAATACGGGATGTTATTTTTACATCCTGGGCAGATGAGTTCACACTCTGGGAGGAGAAATTCACAGTATGGGCATGGAGTCGTGGCCTCTTCCGTCTCGGATGTGTCAGGTCTCCTGTGGAGGAAGCACACGTCTTTAAAACAGCGATGTTTATTTCATGTTAACAGACAGCAGATGAGAAGTTCTGAGAGTCAGTAACATGTAACACACCTCAACTCAAGACAAGATCCTTCCCACCTCACCCGTGGGCCCTCACCGCTGGGCTCCAGCAACAGGGCAGAGGCAGGATAACTAGAATGTTACCTTTGGGACTTGGGGGAGTTCACAGGCAGAGCACATTAACTGCCAGAGCACGTGTGTGTGGGTCTTGCTGTCTCCTCTCTTCCCGTGTCACTCAAGTAGTGAACTTGACCTTTCTCCGCTCCCTCTCCTCTTGTGTAACAGAAGTGGCAAAGGGCTAGGAAGTGCTGCTCTCTCAATGGCTGCATACCCTCCCATGTCATTGTCCACCTACAATACCTCACACAGCACGGCTTCCTGTGACACTAGAAATGCTCGAATTCTCTGCTGCTCAAGTCACTGCCCGCTAGCCACATGCAACTTTTGAGCACTTGCTGTTGTTGCTCTTAAGTGCCACTGAGTCGAATACTGCTCATAGCGGTCCTATGAACAAGAGATCTGAACCCTACCGCATCCTGTGCCGTCCTCATCATCTTGGACACACTTGAACCCACTGCTGCAGTCACTGTGTCAATACATCTCATTTAAGGTCTTCCCCTCTTTTGCTGACTCCACCTTTCACAGCATGATGTCCCTTTCCACGGCACAGCCTCTCCTAGCAACATGCCCAAAGTATGAGAGATGAAGCTCCCCCATCCTTGCTTCCAAGAAGCACTCTGGCTGCACTTTTTCCCAAGACATATCTGTTTGTTCTTTTGGCCATCCTTGGGAGAGTCAGTGCTCTTCTCCAACACTGCAGCTCCAAGGCATCGATCCTTCTCTGTCAGCCTTATTCATTGTCCAGCTCTCAGGTGTATAACAAGTGACTTAAAAAGCTATGGCCTCTACAACCAGGAGAGGATAAAATAGATTAATGGGACCTTATCAGACTTAAATCCCTATGCACATCCAAAAACTTCTCCAACAGGGTAAAAACAGAAGCCACAGATTGGGAAAAAATGTTTGGTAATGACATGTCTGACAAGGGACTTATATCTAGAATTTATAAAATACTCGAGCACCAGAACAAGATAAAGGTAAGCAACCCAACTGAAAAATGGGCACAGGATATGAACATATACTTCACCAAAGAAGACATTCAGATGGCCAGCATGTACATGAAGAAATGTTCAAAATCCCTACCTCTAAGAGATGCAACTCAAAACAACTATGAGATACCATCTCACCCCCAAGAAATGTTCAAAATCCCTACCTCTAAGAGATGCAACTCAAAACAACTATGAGATACCATCTCACCCCCATAAGAATAGCAAAATTTAACAGAACAGCAAACATCAAATGCTAGTGAGGTTGTGCAGAAACTGGAACACTTATTCACTGTTGGTGGGAGTGTAAAATGGTACAAACACTGTGGAAGGCTGTATGGCGCTTTCTCAAAAAGTTGCAAACAGAAATACCATTTGACCCAGCAATTCCACTACTGGGAATTTACCCTAAAGAAACCATATCTGCCACTCAAGCAGATATATGTACACCCATGTTTATTGTGACTTTGTTCACAATAGCAAATACTTGGAAACAACCTAAGTGCCCATCAACAAATGAATGGATAGAGCAGCTCTGATATATTCCCACAACGGAATACGATGCAGCATTGAAAAACAAGGAACTCATGAAATATTATGCAAAATGGATGATCCTGGAAGACATTATGCTGAGTGAAATATCTCAGTCACAAAAGAACAAATACTGCATAGGGCCACTGTTGTAAAACAGGATTGATATCAGGGTTCAGGGAAGACAGAAGAGGGGAGGAATGATGTATATTGCATTGAAACGACGAGGGAGAGAACTGTTTAAAAGGGATATATGAATAGGTATTCTTGTCATTACAGAAGTCCAGAGTGAAGGCTGCATAGTGGAGTGGACTTGGGGGGGAGGAACTGCATAACAATGAAAGAGTTTTTCTTTAAAAGGAAAAGAGTAGTTGGGGTTGGGTGGGTAGGGAGAAAAGGGCAACAAGGAATGACTAGAAGTCATCCTAAGTCTCTGTAAACTTTCATTAAAATTAATAAATTTTTTTAAAAAAGCTATGGCCTAGCTAAAAGTATATCTTAGTCTTGAGACTGACACTACTGCTCCTCAGTAATTTGTAGAGGCATCTGACCGTGGACTTTCCCAATGCAATACGTCTCCTGTCTGCTGGTACCAAGGGTGTTGACTATGGATTCCAGTAAGATTAAATCATTAACAATTTCAATCTTTTCTCCAACTATTATAATGTTGCCTATTAGTGTAGTGGCAGGATTTCTGTGTTGGTCATGTTGAGCTGCAATCCATATTGAAGGGGGTAGTCTTTGATCTTCTGCAGCACGTGTTTCAGGTCCTCCTGACTTTCAGCAAGCAAGCTTGTGTCTTCTCACAGCATGGGTCGTTGAGCATTCGAGATATGGCTAATGTGCTGAGAAACTAATTTTTCAATTTTGAGCACTTTCAATTTAAATCGTCATGTGTGACTAGCAGGTACCGTACTGGCCAGCACAGCACTAGATCACTCTCTCATGCCTGACGCCAGGTCAGTGTGGTGCTAACCCATGGAAGCAAATATGCTCTCTCATTTGCTAATTACTCTCTGCACATCTGATGGCTTAGTGGGAAAGGAGCTGTGCTGCCAACCCAAAGGCACTCGGTTCAAATCCACCAGCTATCTGTGAGAAGATGAGCCATCTCCTCCTCTGTGTTTTACCGTCTCTGAAAACCTGCTGGAGGGTCAGCTATGACCTGAGAGTGTACAACAACAACAACAACTCGTCATGTTGTCACTGACCATGTTGGTGAGGAGTGTGTTGAATCAGCCTGACTAGATCTGAAGCTTACACTTCTCAGCTTTCACCTTCTCTGCTTTAACAGTTGGCCTCATGGCCAATTAACAATTAAGTGTTACTTGCTTCTGTGAGCTATCACTGGGTGCATTCTCTCCCCAGTTTGAGGTTCTGGCCAAGATTCTGGTTCACCTGGGTCCACTTGACACAATGACAGTGAATGCTGTTGCTGCTGTTAGGTGCCACTGAGTTGGTTCTGACTAAGCGATCATATGTCCAAGAGAACAAAACACTGCCTGGCCTGTGCTGTCTGTGCTCACCCTACTTTGAGGAGCTTTTAAACTCAGTTGTATTTTGAGTGCCTTCCAACCCGAGGGGCTCATCTGGTAGGTACGATGGCTGTCCGTGGGCATCTGTAGAAAAGTTTGCTCCAGGACCTCTGACCACTACTGCTGTTGTTGTGTCCCACTGAGTCGCAATCGACCCATGCTGACCCTCTGGTGAGTTTTCTGAGCCAGTTAACCTCATGGGAGGAAACTGTCCATCCTTCTCCCATGGAACAGCTGGGGTATTCGAACTGCATGTCCTCAGGACTTCAGCATAGCTTCTTACCACTAGGCTACCATAGCTCCCTACTACTAGAAAATAAAAATCCAAGGATGCCCAAGTTCCTTATATAAAATGGCCCAGTACTGCAATAGCCTTCACACACTTTAACTCACCTCTAGGTTACTTATAATATCTAGCACAACACACATGCTGTGTAAACAGCACTTTACCTTCCCTTTCACCTTTGAGGGATCGCTCTGGCCACTGAATTGCTTTTCAGAGCTCCTCCCACGAAGTGTTTCCAACCCAGGCTCAGCTGAATGCATGGATGTGGAACCTACTGGCAGGAACGGATGACTGTCTGTCAGATCATGTCTCGCTGTTATACATAAGGTTTTCAATGGCTCATTTCCTCCCCAAGTACATCACCTGGTCCTTCTTCCTAGTCCTCCTTAGTCTGGAAGCTCCCTAAACCTGCCTACTGGGGGTGGCCCTGCTAGTATTTGAGACACCATGGCACAGCGTCTGGCATCACCGCAACATGTAAGCCATCACAGTACAGCAAACTGACAGACAAGTAGGGGTTGATAATGACAGGCAGCCCAGATGTCACCAGCAAGTGGGAACAGCAAACTACTACATGATTCTGTTCCCTTTTGTAAACTAAGTGTAACTAATTTTCCAAGACCAGGCAGATGTAGGCCGCTGGCTTCTTTGAAGCAAGGACCTGCCTATATGTCCCTGGAGCTGTAAAGGGCTCAGACATGAACTTTCCACTGGCAAGGGGCTTTGTTAACACAAGTTTCTTACAATGAGATAAAGTCACCAGTTCCATTCATCCATCTGCGGCAGACAAGGCTGCCTAGTATTTTCTCTTTCTTTATCAACAACTTTGTCTTTACTCAGCAGTGTGTTCTGCAGCTACAAGTAGTGATGCAGGAGAGTGAGAGCTAAAGTCTTGGGCAAGGTGTCCACTGGGATAACAAAGCAGAGCCCTTTTTGATCTTTTTTCTCTTCTTCCTGCCTGGGATGGAGACGTGATGTCTGTACTTGAGCAGCTATCTTGCAATCATGAGTTAGAAACCCATAAACTAGGGCATCCTAAGCTGGTGGCAGCAGGATGCAGCTGTATTGGCCCTGGGATTCAAAGCCTTGTAGGAACAAGGATATTATTTAAACCATTGATTTGGGCTTTCTGGGATCTGTCACATAATAAAGAAAAAAAAAATCCTAATTACTACCTACCTACGTGTCAGAATCACTGGCTGACAGTAAGCTTTTGTAAAATCCTCTTTCTTATTAGCCTACACATTGACAGTCCCATTTTCGAAGCCCCGCCTGTGAAATGGGATCAGATGGTAGAAGCCGTTTCCCCTGCCCACCTGACCATTGCCTCGATCTTCTTTTTGTACTTGGCATCTATTTTGTTGCGGTACTCGGGCCGCATCAGCATAGCCGCGAAGCTGAAAGCCGAGTTCTTCAGGCCCGCTCTGTGACACTCGATCACAGTTGATGTCAGGATTGGCACGATGTCTGCAACACAAATGGGAGAGTTGAAAGAGCAGGATGCCTCCCCTCTTCAGGGGTGCCGGCGAGACACACACCGTGACGCAATATGGAAACAAGGGCAAATGTGGCCTCTGCTTTTCCTCACAAAGAACCAGAAACAAATAGTTCAGTGGGAAAAGGGAACCACAGAAGCACCAGGCCAAACCACTCATCAAAACGTCTTTCCTTTGCTCACGCCGGGCCTTGTCCCATGGTAACAGATCTGCACACCTCTGAGGGCCATTCTGCATCTGCCAGGACAGCGGATGAAAAGGGCAAGGGGAGATGAATGGTGTATGCCGGCCCGGCAGGCAGCTAATTATTTCTTCAGTGCAGAGAGATACCCAGAAGATGAATTACTGACCTGAAGAACATGACCTTTTCCACAACACTCTTATCACAAATTGCCACACTGCTTTCTACAAAGTTCCATTTTTAGCCCAGCCTGTAGACCTGGGTGTGCTTTCCTGACAGTGCCCTTAGCTGGCAAGGGACACAATTATTTTAAAGGTATATTTATGAAAAGAAAAGAAAAAGAAATCACGGCACAAAGGTTGGCAAAAGATGACTCACTGACCAAACCCAGTTCTGTGGCTATTTTTCTCCGGCCCATGCTTTTAAAATGGTACCAAAAAAAAAAAAAAAAATCAAAACAAGACAAGCACAATATTTTATGACATCTGAAAGTTATATGCAATTCACATTTCAGTGTCCACAGCTAAAGTGCCATTGTAGTCCAGAAAACACTCACTTGTTTATGTACCATTCACGCCACATGGCAGAGCTGAGCCTGTGACAGACACAATATGGCCCGCAAAGCCAAGGACATTTACCAGCTGGCCCTTTACTGAAAAAGTTTGGTGCCAGCTGTCATAAAATGTGGCTAAATCTATTTATTTACTGGAGAGATATTATGATAACGTTTCTAAAATAATGGAAACTTTTCCTAAGACGATATACACTGTACTAGGTAAAAATACAGACTGACTAGCTGTGACTTTGCATGAGCATTCCTTTGTTTCTGTTGGCCATGTTTATTTTCCAGGAAAAGAAAAACAGTACCAGCATGTGCAGAAGAGTCAGTAGGTCAGAGATTGCCATCCTTAGAAAGGCCCGCATCAAGGCTGGCTCGGGGTTGGGGGCTGGGGGCTTCCCAGCAGGCCCAGCATGGGCAGGAGTGGGCCAGAGCCCCTACACTGTGCTAATAACACAGTTCATGCTGAGCACCTGTTTCCTTGTGGGGTGTTGGTGAAGTACCATGCCCAGGGCGCACTATATGCCGAGTCCCCAAACCCGCCTGGGTACTGATTCTCTAATGAACTTCCCTTGCAAACAGCACTTCATACATGATGCCACAGCACACTGCTGGAGAGAGTGTGTCCTGCGTGGGCCGAGGACCCGCCGACAACCCTGGGAAGCCTGTGCCTGGTTTACTCCAGCCTCCGCCCGCATGCCACAATCCCTCTAACCTAATTTTGCTTTATCTGTTTTCACCATAATAAATCCGAAGTATCTGGGACAACTGTTGAGTCCTGAAAGCCCTCCTGGTGAATCACTGAAGCTGTGAGTGGTCTTAGGGACACTAGATGCACAACTCTGTGGGGCTGTGAGGACTAGCTAACTTGTGGAGAGCTCAGGATGGAGACTGGGAGAGTCAGCAACTGCTGAGTTGAAATGCTGTCTTAACACAGAGCAACAGTGGATATGGAGCTCTCAGGCAGGACTTGTTACTGCCCTTGAGTCAACTACGACTCATAGTGACCCTATTGACCAGAGCTCTGAACCCTGCCCTATCCTGAGCCACTCTCACCGCTTCTGACACACCCACCCTCATTACCCGTTATTGTGTCAAACCATCTCATCCGGGGTCTTTCTCTCTTCTCCCTTGACCCTTTCAAGCATGATATCCTTCTCCAAAGACTGGCCCTTCCTGGCTACAAGCCCAAAGCATGTGAGACGGAGTCTCCAAATCCTTGCCTCCAAGCAGCGGGCAGTACTTACGCGAGGGGAATTTGCTAATGTTGTTGGCCACGCGAATGAGCATCCGCGCTCCTTTCACATGATCGCCATTTTTAACATGAATCTGAAATAAAGACAAGAGTTTTCTATTATAGATGTTGATGAAGCCCAACTGCTCGCACACAAAAACAAAACCCAATTCAAGCTTTATCCCCACAGATAACTCCTAGGTCGTGACCAGAACTGGGTCCCCATGAGACCCCGAAGCCCTTCTTGGCTGCTTAACACATGGGATTTCTACCATGTTCCCTCTTCTTCCGTCAACTGCTGCTGCCAGTACCACAGGTTCACCACCACCCTACCCTCCTGCTTTTTGCTTTTCTTTAAACAAGAGTTCAATCCCTGACTTATTAACTATAGGTTATTCGTGTGTGTGTGTGTGTCTAATAAAGCCAAAAGGAAGCTCTGATGGCCTAATGGTAAGGAACTGTGCTGCCAATCCAAAGGCAGGCACTTCCACTCCACCAGCAGCTCCGTGGAATAAAGATGGGCAATCTCCTCCCGTGCGATTAGAAGGCCTATGAAAACCCACTGGAGGACCAGATGTCAGTCAGTTTTGACCTGACGGCACACAATAACAATAAAACCAAAACCAAACCTTCCATGCTGTCACCTGAAAGGTGAGTTAGGAGTCATTAGGAGTAAAGAGAAAGAATGAGTTGTTACAGCAACAGGGGACGACTGCCTGCTGTTACGACAATAGGGCAGTGACTGGTGGAGGGGCAGGAGACACAGCAAGAATGGCTGGGATATGAGGCAAGAAAGATGTGTGCTCAGAAGAGATGGAGACGGAGGGAGGGTCAGCAGGACTGGGCAGGAGAGCCTCTGTGGTCACCCAGGTGTGAGACGGGGTGGTGGACAAAGGCACGGGGGTGTGCATGGGAAGAAGCCGGCAAATGCAGAGTTAGACTTCTTATCAGTGGTGAGTCCAGAGAACTCCACGTTTCAAGCTTGAGCACATGGATCATGGTGTAACTTACGGAGCTCAGCAACATAATTAATCACATTGAAAAGGAGAAGGTATTGCCCCTGCCCAGCCATCCACACCTCGAGGATGCCCTTTGGCCAAAGCTGTTCTTTTCACTGGGTGGATGAAGCATCGTGTAAAGCTAAGTTTCCCTGCACTGAATGACTCTTCCTTCAGTCCTCTGTGCCCGAGATGCCCTTGACACTGTTGCATCAATGTGTTCTTACTTGATAGGGTCTGATAGTTTCCCTTTTGATATCCCAAACACTTGACATATTAGAAAACATCAGAAATGTGTTTGAGAAATTAGCTAACAATGTGACACTGAGTTGAAACACATTCATATCAGAGCCTATAAATCTCATAGGAGGAGTATGCCCATTTTATGCTCAAGAAGCAGCTGGTGGATTTGAACTACATGCCTCTGAGTTGGCTGTGAAACTGCTTACCCAAGACTACCAGAGCTTCCTTCAGAAATCAGAGCAGAGAAGACAGCCACAAGGGTGCTCTTCTGGAGGAGGAAGAGGAGCCTGGACCAAGAGAAGCTCCAGCTGAGTCATGGTGGTCAGGGAACATGAAAAAGACCAAAGGGCATCCCTGTGACCTTATGGGTAGAAAGCCCTACTCCCTGAGGGAGGGCGTTGTGTAGGAGTCTTTTTTTCCTCGTCTTCCACTAAAATGTTCCTACCCCTCTACCAACCTCAGAGGCTTCAATGTACAGGTCTCTGCACCCCAGGACATTTGCACACCCACTTGTCTCTGATGCTGGGATAGACCTCCCTCCTCCCTCTTTCTACCATTGAAGGACTACAGGAGGGAGAGGTCTCCTAGATGATCTGCAGGGCAGTGGACTCCTGAGCACGGAAAGATGGAATTTTAAAAGCATTTTCCACATAATCAATGTACTAGATTTGTGTATATTTTATGTACTGTTGAGGTGTCTGTGATTCATAGCGACCCTAAATACAATAGCCCTAAACCCTGCTCTATCCTGAGCCAGTCTCACTGACTCCAATACACCTAATCCCATCACCCCAGTTACTGTATCAGTCCATCTCCCGCGCGGTCCCTCCACCCTTCCATGCATGATGACCTCCTCCAAGGACTGGGCCGTCCTGGTCATGTGCCCTAAGTATGTGAGAGCTTCAAAATCTTTGCTTCTAAGGAGAAAACTGGTTTCACCCTCTCCAAGACAGACCCATTTGTTCTCCTGGCTGTCCATGGTATGTTTAATACTCATCTCCTGCACCACAACTCAAAGGCATCAATTATTCTTCTGTCAGCCCTAGTCATTATCCGGCTCTCCGATGCATAGCACATAGTTGGGAAGATGATGGCCTGGACCAGGTGCACCTTAGTCTCTAGGCTGACTTCACATTGCTCCTCAGCAAACTACAGAGGATCCTAACAACAGATTTCTCCAGTGCAAATTCATCTTTTGATTTCCTGACTGCTGGTGCCAAGAGTGTTCATTGTGGAGTCGAATAAGCGGAAGTTGTTAACAACGTCAACCTCTTCTCCATCTATCATGGTGCTGCCAAATGGCCCATAACCCATGTCTATAGCTATTTACATTTAAATTAAGGTTACAAAACACTAGGGTATAGATGGGGGGTACGGTGTTAATCAAAGGGTTGGACAATTTGATGGGTGGGTGGGGTGAAGGAAATGGGAAGGATCTTTTGTGAAAAACAATGTATTCAAACTTTGTAAATAAATCATAATAAAATTTAAAAAAATTAAAAAGATTGCAGAACACTAGAAATTTACTATCTCAGTTCCCCTAGTTAACTGTCTGTCAGTGCTCAGAAGTGTGACTATTTGGGGGTGCAGGTCAAGAAACAGGGAGCGTTACAGGACAGCGCTGATGTCGATGATAATTAAGATCTAAATAATTCAGAAAAGGGCCACTCTATCTAGCTACTTTAAATATTGATTAGGCTCTTATGGACTTGCCTGGGAACCAATTGAATATTAATATAAGGTGATTTACTTTGACACAGATACAACTTGGGGGAGATATTGAAGTTGGGTTCCAGGTGTATCTCTGTGTGTGTTCATGTGCACGTATAGGCAGCCCATGGGTTATGAACGTCCCTAAACTTAAAGACAAATAGTATTTGTCCCTTAATGTTGTGTCGTGTGCCTTCACTTGGAAATGACTGAACCAGCCCCAGCTCACACAAATTGTTCACAATCACCTTCACTTACTGCACCTATAGCTTTTAAATCAATGACAAGGTGTTTTGCCTTTTCTTCTACTAATCAAATTCACTGCTTGTAAATTGATCCAACTCACAGAAATGTGACAGGAATGAGCTGAAGTGCTCCACAACGTTTCCAAGGCTGTAAGTCTGTACATAAGCCAACTGCCGCATCATTCTCCTGTAGGGTGACCGGTGGGTTCACATGGAAACCTTTCAGTTAGTGATCTAATCCTTAATTTGCTTAGTTCACCACCAGGACTCCTCTGCACTCAAGTAAGGAAGGGTAACTATTAGAAGCAGGAGTGGCATCCACTTCCTAAATAACATGCCTCTGGAAACCCTATGAACTTTGATAAATGTCGGTAGCTGTACAGGGGCTTCAGGCCTTTTGTTCATAGGGTCGTTACGAGTCATGCTCGACTAGAAGGCAATCAGCAACAACAACAACAACGTAACTAAGAACAGACTTAATAAAAAATCAGATTTGAAGACACACTTAGGAACAGATCTTGTTTGTTATCTGAGGCCTGCACACACACACACACACACACACACACACACACACTGATGTATCACACACACATGCACACATATAATATGTACTTAAATTATATGTATACCACTACATGATTATTGTATGCTCTATTTTGTGTCAGTTAAGAGTCTATGAAAAGAGACAAGGAATATATATACATTTATAGAAGCATAGAAAACATATACAACATAGTGTTAACAACTGTTATAACTGGGTGATGGACTTAAACGATGAATCAGATTTTTCATTTTGCTTCTCCACATTCTCTAAATTACCTCTGTGAAAGCATGTTTACTTCATAATCAGAAGAACAGCAAACGGTATTCACGTGGATGAGGACCCGCTGCAGTGGCGCTGATGCTCACGGCCAGGGGTGCTCAGCACTGAGCAGAACTGCCCCATCGGGCCCCGTGGCTCTACGTCAATGGGAGCCATGTGCCCTATGTTTTTTGAACCACAGACCTGTGGGTTAGCAGCCTGACACCTAACCCACAGCATCACCAGGAAAACTGCCATAAAAGCTACTACCTTAGGAGTAAAGAACTAACAAGCTCCAGACAAGTAAAGCTGTTTTAAGTAAACAAGAATTTCTGACAAGTAATAATACATCATGTGATTAAAAAAACCCTGAAGTAATATTAAAAACACACACTGAGAAGATACATCCTTCCTCTCGTTCTACCTCTGCTGGGGCTTGGCGTCATGCCTCCCCGGCCTTAGCCCTCGTTCCCTTCTGGAAACCATTTCTGTTTGATGCTTGAATAGGTTTCCAACATGGAGAAGACCATTCTGGAAGGAAAGACCCCAGGTGGGGTAGGTCCCAGGTCAGCTCAGAGCCTCACCTTCACCAGCACGTAACTGTGCAGAATCATGAGGTTCGTGGCCATCTCGGAGGGGATCTTGATTTTCTGGGACTTCAGCTCTGCATACATGCTAAAGAGAACGTCATGGGCGTTCCGATAGTTTCCTGGGGAAAAAAGGTGGTAAAGGTACATTAGTACCAAGTGAGAAAATGGAGTACTCTCTGGGGACCTTCATTTCCTTGGTGGGTTTTGTCAGTGACATTATTTGCAATGTCTTAATGGTTTCTTATAGTAATTGAGGATCCCCTCACTCATCCAGTCACTTGGGGAAAAACGTGATGTCACCTCAGCCGTTTCATTCTTACTCAGAACACCCACCTGGCCCCAGAGTCACCACGTCCTCTGAGCCAACCTTCAGAAGCTGTCACTTCCAGCCTCGCACCCCTGTGCCCGCTTTTCACGCTCCCTATCAGTTCTCTCTTAGTGATGTACTAATCAGGATTACCAGAACATCACCTGCCTCTCCCGATGCCCTAATCTTTTCAAATCCTCAAGCTGTCGGTCATATTCTCACATGAAACCTTTCTCAACCCTCCCCAAGGCCTTAAGGCTCAGAAGCAAAGGCCTAAGCTGATTACCTGCGGCCCCAGGACCTGCCTCTGCTTACCACTGCACCTTATCTTTGCCTCCACACATTCTAGTCCTGCAGAACACGTGCACGCCGGTCCCTCATGCCTCACTGCTCCGCTCCCCTCCTCATCTCCTGTTAGCACGTCCTTTCAAAACTCGGCCGAAGCTTTTGCTTCTCCTCTAATCTCTACCCTCCAGCTCCTTTTACCCCCAAACTTTAGGCTGAGGTGGATCCATTTTCTACTCCCCTTCCTGCTGTTGAGTCAATTCTGACTCAGACTTCATCAATGTTAGGGTAGAACTGAGCTTCACAGAGTTTTCAGTGCCTTATGTTTTTGAAATTAGATGGCCAGGCCTTTCTTCTGAGGCAACTCTGTTGTTGTTGTTGTTGTTGAGCACCATCAAGTCAGAATTGACCCATGGCTGACACTTCAGCAAGTCTTCAGAGGCAATAAATCACATGGGGGGAGACTGCCCATCTTCCTCCTGCAGAGCATCTGGTGGAACTGAACTACATACCTCAGCGCAGGCAGCCCAATTCCTTACCACTAAGCCACAACCCCAAATCTGCAAATCCTTTGGTTGGTAGAAAGTTAACCATTTGTTCCACCCAGGGACTTCAGCACCCCTAATTTAGCATATTGCTATTTCAGCATTTATCACCCTGTACTGCAACACTGAATTTTCTTTCCTCTTTCCCACCAAGTCCCAGATCACTGAGGGCAGAACTGTGGCCCGGTCCTCTCTGCACCCTGAGCTCCAAGCACAATGTCCAAGAGCCCCTAGCTGTCAGATAAACATCTGCGAGGAAAGTGGTGGCTCAGTTCATTTTATCACGTTCAAAACTGTGTTCCACAGTCATGAACATCAAAGAGGATCCCCCTTACAACAATGAATGATGATAGCGGCATAATTAACTGACTTATTCGACAAATATTTACACGGCATATAAATGTACATCACCATTCTGGTGAGTCTATAAATAGTCTCTGATATTATAAAGAACTAGATCAATAATGTCATGAAATATCTCACACTGTCAAGTCCAAATCCAGGGGTAAGTACGTATGCTGTGGGCAGGAGAGGTCAGGAAATTACTGTCTAGGAGACAGAAACTGTGGGAGGCCTTGAAGGCACAGAAAAAACAGCATCCAAGCGAGAAAGTCCTAGTGTTATTCCATATCCCCTGGGGATGGTGAATTCCTTTACTTCTCAGGGACTGAGAGGAAGTCATGCCTCTAATTCTGAGTTTCCACAGTAAACCCAGATCAGAAACTGGCTACATCTCCTGGGCAGGGCAGAGAATGGGTGGGGGATTTGAATCTACTACCAAAATATAAATAACACAATATAACAGAATATAAATAACACAATGTAACATTCTATAGCATAAGGTAATATAATAGAACATAACATATAAATAACACAATATAACATTCTATAGCATAAAGCAATATAATGTAACATAACATATAACCTAACTTAAGGTGAAGATAAGCACCCCACCTGAAGTCTGCTCCTCTCTGGCAATGATAATGGCAGTCTGGGCGGCCTCTCGGTACTGCTTCATCGCCATGTACAAACGGAACAGATACTTGGCGTCCTGACAGATCAACAGTTAGAGAAGCATCACTTTTCATCAGCTAAAGGGGAGAAACACCTAATACCACATTTTTAACACAACAACATTTACCTGAGAGTAACTGATAATGGTTCTTTAAAAATCTCAGTGAATTATTACTTTGTTGTTGTTGTTGTTATGTGCTGTCAAGTTGCTTGCGACTCAGTGACCCTATGTACAACAGCCCTAGACCCTGCTCTATCCTGTGCCAATCTCACTGCCTCTGACACATACTTTACTTATCAAATAAATACTCAGCAGAAGATAGGCTTCTCAGTATTTGAGAAATAACAACAAGTTCAAATCCTTTCTCCTGCAGAGCAGCTGGTGGATTTGAACCCAGTGCTTTTGGACTGGCAGTGCAACTCCTTGCTGCTAAGCCATCAGAGCTTCCTTCACATCCACCCTAGTAGGAAGGTATTATTTTCCTCATTTCACCGATGAAGCAACTGAATCACAGCTGGAGAGGGGCAGAGCCAGCATGTGAACCGAGAGATTCTGGTGTCAGGGTCTGTGTTCCTAACCACTATTCTACTGAGTATCTCTCACATGCGCTGAAAAGAGAAATATATTCTCAGTAATGGACTGACTTCACAAATTCTCAAAAGAGTTAACATCTACACAGAAAAGTTTCCTTGACCTTTGGTCATTTTCCATTCCTCCTCCCACTAACTTTAGATCATTTCACATACTTGATGTTTGCTTCCAGATAACCGGAATAAATGGATATATATGGGGAGATGGTTTAGCAGAGTTCAAAGGCACCGTGACCTTTGGTAAGCCAGCTTAACCTTTCTCCATCCCAGCAGCTTTACACACAAGGAAATGGACTTTTGTGAATGGATCGTGAATATCTCCTCCATTTGTGACATTCTGTCATCACCATTTTCCCCTCAGCACCACAGTAAACAGGGATGGAAAACTGCAAGAAGACGGACTTCTTCCCTCACACTGCTTTATATACCGTGAAAAGACGCTCTTAACAATGCATTTCTGCTGCATATTTACAAAAACTCAATGCTCACACTCACTGCTGTCGAGTCAGAACTGACTCAGAGCTGAGCCTGGAGCAGGTTTCAGAGGCTGTAAATCAAATGTGAAGAGACTGCTCAGCTCACTGCTTGGAGCAGCTGGGGGAGTCAAACCTCCAGGGAGGCACTGCCTCTGGGTTAACGGCACAACTACACACACACACACACACACACACGGGAGGTGACCCGACTCACAGCTGACCATCCAGGGGCAGTCAACTGCATGGAAGGAGACTGCCCATCTTTCCCCCATGGAGAAGCTGGGGAATTTGAACCACACACCTCTGGACTGGCAGCACAATTCCTTACCCTTAAGCCACCAGAGCTCCTTAATATTTATAAAGAATTACTTTTATGCTTAATGTGATTTCACACATCTAATTTTTTTTAAGCTTATTTTTTGCTGTTGTTTATTGTGACTTCTGGAGAGCCCCCCTCTGTCATGGAGCAGAACTGCTTCACTGGGTTTTCTTGGCTACAGCCAAAGATTGTGGGTGCTGGAGACTATTACCTAGAAGAGGCTTGGCTGTTTCACAGGGATCAGTGCCAAGTACAAAGAGTGACTATATACATGTGTTGTTGTTAGGTGCCATCGAGTTGAGTACAACTCATAGTGACCCTGTGAACGAGACATATGAACCCGGTCCTATCCTGCTTTATCCTCACACTTCCTGACACATTAGAGCTCATTGCGTTGGTCACTATGTTAATCCACCTGGTCGAAGGTCTTCCTCTCCGTCACTGACCCTCCACCTTTTTGAGCATCTGTCCCTCTCCAAGGAATAGTTCCTCTTATCAACATGCCCAAAGTATGTGAGGTGAAGCCTCATCATCTTTGCTTCTAAAGAGCAATCTGGCTGCACCCTCTGCAAGACATATTTGTTTGTTCTTTTGAACATCCATGGGGTGTGCAGTGCTCTTCTCCAAGAGAAGACTATGTATAGAGTCCTCTATGAACAGTAGAGGACCATACACATAGGGGTCTGACTGGAAGAATTCTAGAGCTGCTTTCAGAGATAAAAATGTACACATCTATAATGAGAAAGCCCTAACAGGTAAAAACAGGATACAACAAATTAGCACTAACTGGGAGACCAAGGACACCAACGTGTCTAGTACCTTTGGCATGCCATCGCTCTCCCCCATCAGGTGGTCGATCAGCTGACTGGTCAGCAGCTCATCCTTGGCCTGACTGACCTGTTTCATAGGAAAGAAAACAGTCAATCAGTATCTTAAACACAGCAATAGGAAAAAGAAACCCCAAAATGCATACACATACACACACACACACACACACACACACACACACACACACACGTTGTTATGTACCATTGCATCAAAGCCGATTCGTAGCTGCGCACTGGGTTTTCAGAGGCAGAGAATCACATGAGAGGAGGCCGCTCATCTCATGGAGCAGCTGGTGGATTTGAACCATGTGTCTCTGAGTTGGCACCATAACTCTATTATTAAGCCACTAGAGTTGCATGTATATAAAAACATATATTTATACATATGTACACACACATGTGTGTGTGTACACATAGATATACTGACAGTATTGTTCCTGAAACACGGTCTAAGTGCAAGTCTTTCTTCATTCATTTGTAGAGTCTCCACTGATAAAAATTTATCTTCAGAAACTACCTGTTCTCAAGTGTTATATTGGGATGGGAGTGTCAGAGACAGTGCGATTGGCACAGGACAGAGCGGAGTTTAGGGCTGTTGTACATAGGGTCGCTATGAGTCGCAGGCGACTCGATGGCACATAACAACAACAACAACAACAGCTGGCTTTATTTCCAAGTAT